GGGGGGGGGGGGGGAGAGGGCGACGGAGCGGCTTAGCGCCACGGTGGTTACTTAGGCCGGTGGTTTCAGGTTTCAGGATACGGAAGGAGGGTTGGTGAGGCACGGGGGTGGTCACGATTCGCCACTCCTGGCGGCGGTGACGGTGGTGGTGGTACATTTACCGCAAGTACAGTCTTTTGTCTGCGTGGTTTTGAATGCAAGACTGAGATCAAAGGGCAAAGGGTAACGGTCACACAGGCGCCCTGCAAGTCGTCCTGCCCTCGACGTCAACGTAAGCTCTCGCAACACGCACCAATAATGCGTGGAAGATGGGAGACAAATGCCGATAGACAGCACACCGCAGTGGTATTTAACTGTTGCGTCCCACCCAGACGAGGGCTTCACCTCTTCCCCTTGGTCCAACAGGGACTAGAGCCTACCGTGCCTGGAAATGTTAACGCTTATGTGCTTGGTAGTTTTTCGTACTGCACCTGTGTAGGTCTCCTGCTTGCCGTCGCGGACGGAGGCCATGTGAATCGCTCCCTTGGCCAGCTTCCCGCTGAGCGCGACCGCATCACCCTCCGACACGGCACGGAAGCAGAGGCCGTTCACCACGGGGACCTTCAGGCTCAGGGACAGCTCTAGCAACGTCTTCACCAGAGCTCCGCCAACCTTCAGCATCAGCACGGGACAAGGGGCAAAGCTTCGGATATGGTTTGCGATTGCGTGTGGTGGAACTAAATAACTGCCTACGAAGGCGGCGAAACTAACGTGTCGTCCTGTCCATCAGCAGGAGTGGAACACTTCCCTTTGCTCGGGCTAAAACCGATAAAGCCTGCTTTGCTGGACGAGCCCACCGACTGGTAAACATTCCCTCGAAGAATGCTCAGATAGTCGGGCTTCCCCTTACTCCGAGTATCAAACATCCGGTGCAAAATTTATCCTGCGGTCTCTTGTCGCTGAATCCTTAGGGTTAGGATTAGGGTTGGTCGGGTTTTCCCCTTGTTGACCATCCGGCGCAAAATTTATGCTACGGTCTCTTGTCGCTGAATTAATCCTACCTCCTTCGAACACCAGTGGGCATCTGCAACCAGGAAACCGATGGCCACTACCACCGACACTCCGGTCTTCTGCACCATGCACTGGATGGCGAACGGGAGCTGGAGTGGGTCGGAAACCTCGTATATCGTGGTCTTGGCGCCTGTGGACAAGCATCGAGGAGACGTGTTGGTGGACACAGCAGGTGTAGGGAGGTTGCAGGTTGCAGGTTGCAGCGCGGCACGCAACGAAGGGGTTATGTACACACCAGTAGCTTCGAGTCACAATAGTGCACTACATTTAGCGCGGTTACTGATTCGTATTCACCAAACCGAGCAAGCCTTGCAGCAGAGCGCATGTGGCGGCACGAGCGCTGCCTGGGTACGTAGGCACGAACGCGCCCGGTCGACAACCACATGTAACAACAACATACCGTAAATGACACAAGATAACACACCCCTCACGGAATACGACACCATGGTGATATTTTTGGGCGTTTCTGACAAACCATCGATGTATCACCCGGGATACACAAGATAGCACACCCCGGTGATAAATTAAAGATACGCCGCATATTTTCACGGGGCCCCTCCCTTTGTCACCGGGGTGACAGCATCTGCCCCTGGGCATCACACACACACACACACACACACACACACACACACACACACACACACACACACACACACACACACACACACACACACACACACACACACACACACACACACACACACACACACACACACACACACACACACACACACACACACACACACACACACACACACACACACANTTTCATCGATAACTGCGCCAATTGGCGCACACTCATGGCGGCCTCGTCACGACCCTCACGGGCGGGCAGGCTAAGAACACATAGGTGGCACAATCTATCTCACAGCCTACATCTGGCAGACAGTGCCCTCGACCCTTCGACGGCGGTGGTATCTCCTTCTCTCACGGAATCACAAATCTTTTGTTTGGACAACCGGCGTACAACCTGGATTTCCTGCTACTACTACACAGTACAGTAGTACTACTGCGGCGGCTGCGGATACTGGATTCCTGGACGTGTTAACCTGAAGGAAAAAGCCAAGAGAACCTGCGAGCAGGACTTGGCTCCCTCGTGACTTCCTAGTGGCTCGCTAGGTTCGGACGAGGGTATGTGTGGAGCTATGGCAGTCTATGTATTGATGTTTTGTTTGATTCATCTAGCTGCTGGCACGATGACTGTTGGATCTTGGGAGTGTACGATCATCAAATTGGGAGATGCAGCATACCACGATATCCTGGCTTCGGCTGGGCTTGAAATAACCCTTTTGNACACACACACACACACACACACACACACACACACACACACACACACACACACACACACACACACACACACACACACACACACACACACACACACAACACACCCTCTGTATGCGGGAAACGCCCCACTTGGAGACTCCAACAACATGAACGTGCAGAAAGAAAAGCAGACTGCGGCCGCAAGCACCTCCGCTTCTTCCGCAACTGCTTCGACCGCAGCAGCACAGGCGTAACAGATCATCTCGTTCTTTCAACTCGAGCAAACTTCTTCTACACAAGCGTCTCCTGCTACGGCTCCTCCTCCTGCTGCTGTGGATCTAACAACAGCAGCAGCTGGCACAGCAACAGGCGCCAACATGACAGCCACCGCCTCTCCTCACCAGCAGCCAGTTGCTGACTCGCTCTCAGTAGCACGTGCGAGTACCGCAGACGAGTCAACACGCATCACCAAAGCCTCTCAGCTGGTGTTGGTGGACACCCCCTCATTATCACACCCTCAAACACACTCTTGGGATGTTCGGACGTGCTATCACACCCCCTTAGGGACCCCTGCGAGCTGCACCTTTATCACCCTGGGTACGTAAGATACCCCACCCCCCACATAATACCACACCCGGTGATAATACTTTAGAGCCAAAAATGTTATCACCGGGGTGTGTTATCTTGCGTCATTTAGGGTACAGGCGGGACGACAACGAAACCGAAGCTCTTTATAGCTCCCGTTGGCTCTCACCGAGCTGCTGGAGTGCCGCCACAGTAGACGACTTGAGAGCCTCCGACTCGCACACCGCCACTCCGACGCGGAGCCCCGCAGCGGAAACAGCCAGTTCCGCCGGGGGGGAGGACGTCGGCCTCGCCGACTTGGCACGGGTGGGTGTGGGTGCCCTCGGGGGCGACGCCATTTGCGCCTTCGCCTTCGCCTTGCTTGCGGCGCCGTTGGCGGCGGCCGGGGCTTCGGCGGCGTAGTCCCCTAGAGAGATGGACGTCTGCCCCCCCGGTGGCGCGTACCTGAGGGAGAGGGGGTTAAGCGTAGCAGCCGCGGTAGTTGGGGAAGAATGGACTGGCATGTTACGGTAAAAATGACGTAAGATATCATACCCCCTGCTGATTTTCGAGGCTGGACTACTCTCAGCATCGAGGGTGGCGGCGCAGAAAAACGGCCGCGTCGGAACCGTCTGCTCGAGAGACAGCTTTTGTGTTGACGTATGATATGTATCGTTTGATTTGTACATCCTCTTCGTCGTGGAGTATCCGAGCTTTGAACAATCGATCAAGGGGGTGTGGGAATCCCAGTCACCTTACATACAGTATGAATGCTGCGCGGAGGCAAGCGGACGACAGCAACTCAGAACGATTGTGTTTTTGAACGATGATGGGTTGTATGCGGCACACAAGTACGGCGGTTGGAGTACTGTACCTGGTGTGCCAACAGCTCCTCCAGGAGGAATCATTCTTGACTCTTTCTACATGAGCGCAATGCGGACGTTTAGCGTTGTCTTACGCTTGCCACAATACTTCAAGACGACCACCTTTCACGAGGAGATGAGGGTGGAAGGAAAACCGTCTTGTACAACACGGGCCAGACTTCTCCAACACCGCGGTACACAGGATAGGTGGCACTGCTCCCCCTTCCCACTTGTACAGCCAAACCTTGGGGGACGGGTCTCTCCAAGAGTTATCTGGAAATGCTGGCATGTTTAACTTTTTCTCACCTGCGCGTGGACGACTTCTCCCACACCAGATCTCCAGAAAGTTGCGTAGACATGGCGGCTGGCCGGTTCGGTGTTGGTCTTGCGCACTGCGTTCCGTGTGAAGGGGAGGGGGGGGGGGTTGGACTACACAGCAATAGCACTTGTTAGACCACTATTTATGGCAAACAAATCTTGATCTTGATTCTTCAAAACCTTGGCAAGATAAAAGCGACCCCCCCCCAAGATCGAGATTATTGCATGTACGTGTGTATGGAAAACTGCATCTATCTATCTTGATCTTACTTGGGGGTTGTGGACACCTCGATAGACAAAATCAGCGAGTGCGACCTGAGTTCTTGACGTATCGCTCCCATCAAGGGCTCCGACGAACCCTATGGTGAAGGGTTTGCTGTTCCACACGTTGGTTGTTGGTTGTCGGTCGGGACACGAGCGTTAAAAAAATCATTTCGCGTCACACCAAACGTGGAGACTCCCAAACGTCACGAGAGGGCAAAAAAGCCGAAAAAAAGCCGCGTTCTGACAGAGGCGCGACAACAGCGCAATTGATTTCTCGCTCCCTATCCCACCGATTGACGCCAAACCGGTCAGGGTGTGCTCGCCGTTCCTTGCTCTCTCTCGGAGTGGCGTGGCTCAGGAGCTCGCAAGCTCAATCGATGGAGAGAGATTTGTGCGTGGCGTCACTTTGCTTTTTCGAACTGATTTTTTCGCCCTTGTTTGTTATTCACTGGCGAATAGACTGACCTGTTGAACACCTGAAAACTTTTTTCAACGGATGGCGTGCGCACACGCAGACAACGATTTCCGTCGATTGAGCTTGCGAGCTCCTGAGCCACGCCACTCCGAGAGAGAGCAANACATCCTCCCAACGTGATCTTCCTCCACACCTCCCCACCGTAACATATTATAGTCAAATGTATTCAGATACATTGTAAAGAAGATGGCCACCTAATTATCTTGAACCTGTTACCCTATAGGTAAGATATCGCTACTATTATTTACTCGGAGTATTATTTGCTGCTCGGGGAACTGTGCAAGGGCGGGTTCTGTAGGGTACTCACAGACCTATACCGGGGGTAATTACCCTCTGTTATTACCCTACAGAGAGGCACAGAGAGTTCTGTATCATCCCCGTACCCTACAGGATTATTCTGTGCGTTCTGTTTCATCCCCGTACCCTACAGAATAGTTCTGTGTAGTTTGTATCATCCCCGTACCCCACAGAATAGTTCTGTGCATATATATCTTGCCAAGATTTTGGGGCAAGATTCGGACTCCAAAACAAGTGTACATTCGAGATATTTCTTGAATCGACCAATCGACCCCCTCCCCCCCACCAAAAATCAAGATTAAGATCAAGATTCCGCCGCCATAAACAGTGGTCTTAGTGGATTGCATGTGCATTGTGCGCAGCAGATATGGTAGAACAGCTGACAATCTGTACTATCATCGACAGCGTCAAGAGGAAATAAAGCCGTTGTTAGACACATTTTCTTATCCCCCGCCTGTTGCGTCAACAAGTTTGCGTGCGCCTTGGCAGCAGGAGCAGCAGCAGCAGCTGCGATTGCTGACGAGATACCGTCGTTGCTGGAGGACTGCGGATGTGTGTACGGGCGGGATGATGACAGCAGTAGTGAACATCCAACGGACGATGTCGATTGTGACGAATGTTACGATTTTATGCATAAAACGAAAATGAAACTCGCGAAAGCTCTCTTACTACGTACTCCAACGTTTACGGCCCGACAAGCCCAGAGATCCCTGCCGTTATACAGGAGAAAAGCAGTGCTTGCGTGTGCGGGTAGGTCATCGGGGCGCATGATGAACATTCAAATCTTGGGGTTTGCGTCAGGCATCATCGTTGAATCGTTGAAAAAGAGAGCCAAACGAACGACTCGCATTCATTCTCTCCTGCTGCTGTTTCCGTGTAGCAACAACCAGACAGAGATTGCCAACAAGCATATACAATTTCAGCCGCCTTACCGCCCCCCCCACTGGATGCTTGGGGGCGGCGACACAGCGGCGCGCGCGCGCGATCTGCTGCTGGGTGGGAAAACAACATGTTGTAGTCTACAGCTGTACTAACGACGCAACACAGCGACCCCTCGTGCAAACTTGGTGGGAGGCGACCACGTATTGAAGGACGGGCTGTTTCAACTCCACCCAAGAATCGAAACCGAGGTGACGTGAGAAGTTGTAGCTCTCGGTGCATCCCGGCGTGGCAGAGTCTCAGTTGCGTACCGCCAACCTTGCTGTGCGGTTGTCCTTCGAAGCCATCGGCACAACAGGGAAATGGCCGTCGCTGGGATCGGGATTGGACCAACGGATTTTCGTGGAATGTTAAAACACACCAACACAGCAGTCAGTCAGCAGCCCCCTCCCTCACTCCACCTCCTTCGTTGTCTCACCTGTTGCAATACGCAGTGCCTTTGCAACGACAAGCTTCCACCGTTGGGCGCAGGGGGGGATGGTCAGTCCGGTTCTTGGCTCCAACAGCGGTAGTTGTAGTTTGTTGCTCTCGTTATGTCCCCTTTACCCCACCCCTACCTATATTACATTATTTCATTTTGGGTTGCATATATTCACTTTTCTATGTACTATCTGCAGTGCCCCTAGGCACCGCAGATCGCGCGCGAACACGGAGAGCGCAAGAGAGAGCTGTGTTGTCTAAGGGCGATCTTCGAGGTACCGTCCCTTCTTGTAGGAGGTTGCGCTGGTAGTCTTTTGTCTTGGCCTTCCCTTTTTGAAAACAAACTTTGATATTTGGCGGGCAGTCAGTCTCTCTGTTTCTCCTTCATCAAGAGGCAGGCAAGGAGGCAGGGAGATGCGAACGGAGGGAGGGTCGGACACAAATCGGCCCACGCTCCCTCGCGTTCGGACGCAAGCGCGTGGAGTGTAGGGGAAGCGATGTGCGTTGTTACTTTGTTGGATGAGTCTTGGCTCAACGCTGACGCTTCGTTTCCCTGGCGCGCTCTCCCTCTCTGCTCCCTTGGCCTTCCTTCCCCACAGGAGCATTTTTCATCGAAAACAACGGATCCAGTCCACACACAAGACAATACAGAGGGTGATTCCTCCCAACAAGCGAAACATGGTGGGGTCATCGCCGGCTAAAGGATCGACGGTGAGAGAGAGAGAGAGACAGAGAGAGACAGAGAGAGAGAAAGTGAGGAACTTTCTTCCTTGTTGGATGCAGGAGAGAGAGAGAAAAAGAAACCCCGAGTGTTTATGAGGCACAGCCACTTCTTTCAGCAGCAGAGGAAAGCGTGTTTTCATCTTCTGGACAGCAGTGCAGCAGTCGTTGATGCTCAGCTGTACGGTAGGGAGACAACGGATGATGTGCGAGCTGTTGTTTTTTTCCGATGTACGGCATTCCTTGCCAACCAGATCAGGTTTTCATCCATGGTGGTTCTGGGTTGGATGCCTCCCCCTTGCCTTCACCCCACGATGGTTGTTTCTCTTGAAGTGAAATTCTCGTTACCGGTCACGGTAACACGGGTTCCGCATTCACGGAAACAATACTGTATGGAATAAAGATCATGGACTACGTGGCGTATTTTTGTCTACCAAAAATACATTGGAAATTGTTTGTTATGCGTACAGTAGCGCAATCCATTATATCGTCACAGACATGTATGTGCAATGCTGCTGCTGCCTCCGTGCAACGATTTGCATTTAGAAGCTGAAGCTATTACCGCGATCAAAGAAGGATGGATAAGTACTGCTGTACCGACACTCTCCCCAACCTTGACACGATTTGCATCCATACCTATATACCCATTGCCCCAGAAACGAGCCTTGAGCACCACTGCTGCTGTCGGGTCAGCAGAGAAGGACAAGAAGCACAAGCGGACCGGCAACACTCTCAGCAGGTATTCATGATTACATGGATGGCTTGCAAGTACATGTGTGTGTGCGTCAACTACAGGCAGTACTACACGATTGAGAGTTCCAATAATATGTCTGGTGAACGGCTTTGTGGGAAGTTTTTGTCAGTGAGGATTCGAGGGAGCGGAGAACGCACCTGAAATGGAAAGGCCCGCAAGAAAAACTTGGGGGAGATGTATACAGCAGCTCATGTTGTGGCAGCGAGACATGGGATTAGAACATCTCCTTGATGGAGTCTGAGTCTTGTATCTGTCCGCTGTTTGGCTGTTTTTGGAAAGTGTCGTCCCTAATGTACTCTTGTACTGTTGGTTCTCGCAACCGGCCTTCCGCGCCGTGCAGCTCCCTCTTTTCAAATCACGTGTGCCTGCTGTTGTGTTCGGTTGACCTCAAGACCTCGAGGTTGGTGTTCTAAGACACGACACTTGCCAGGTAGATGCCATGAGCACACGCATGTATGCATATCACGCCCACGTGGTACATTTACCCGACTGGCAAAATACTCAGTTCCATCTGATTGTGTTACGACTAGCGCTGGTCCGCACCTACCAGTCCCGTTATCCCCGAGCACTCCCTGCTGTCCGCTAGCCGGTCGCCCCGGTGGTCTAGTTGGTAACCTGGAAACCTTCTAGAGGTCAGGTCAGGGGTTCGAATCCCGGCGTAAGCGAGCTTTTCTTGCAAAGGGAGTTTTCCTCTCGCTTCCGCTCCAGGCCAAGTGGATAGCGCTAGTTCGTGTGTACACAGAGGGAAGAGAGTGCTGACCTCTTCTCGCATCAAAAATCGAAGGCAAAGTACCGCAGGAGGGGAGGGTAGAGAGGGGCCCTTCTGTGTGACCACGGGTTGGAGTAAACGGCACTAGTGCTATGAGCGCTGATTTGAAGTGAAGAAAAAAAAATAAAAAACAACGCATACATATGTCCGAAACGCCCCGGGCCTACAATGTATCTAGGGTGTTCTCTTGCCGCGGGAGGTTTTTACTTGACCCTTGACCCGTTACCCTTGACCTAATTTGTGAGTAAGGTGAGGTGATGTGGTTTGGAATCAAGGTTAGGCAATCCGTCTCGGGCAATCTCAAGCAGCCTCACGGGCGCGAAAGAGACATGATGGGGTATGTATATGGGATATTGGATAGGCCTCTCAAATGTACCAAGGCCAGCACCAGGGCACTACAAAACCGTTCTTGCTATTTTTGTTCCGTGACCCCTGAAAACCCGGTACCCAGCCCGGCCTAGGACCACCTGTGAACGTTGCCTGGGCCGGCGAAAGCCCGGCGTACCGCTCCGTGGCGGCATTGTTGGGCTGCGAGGTTAATGGTCTTTTGACCTTGGCATGCGTTTGCATGAGTAACCGCCGCCTCCCCCCCCTGGCATATCGCTCCGTGCCGGTTTTTAGGATGCGAGTTCACTAAGGTCCAACGACTCCGGCATTCGTTTTCACCAGTACACTGTGGTGCCCCCCCTCTTCCCCCCCTCTTCCTCTTCCCCCCCTCCGTTGCAACAGCCCCCTGCACCGAGGGATCGATGGCCCCCCCCGGCCGGGGGAGGTGAAGCTTCTCATCTCCAACCTGCACTACGAGGTCGGCCTTGATCTGCTTGCCTCCGAGTTCAGCACGTGTGGCGCGGTGATGCGGTGCCGCATCATCAACGGCCCCGACGGCCGGTCTCGAGGAGTCGCTTTCGTGTCCTTCGGGGAGAAGTCTTCTGCTGATCGCGCTATCAGCAAGTACCATGACAGGTATGCTGCTGCTGCTGCTTTTTTTTTGCTTGTCGTCCCATCTCTGTCGCCGCTTGCTTACTCCTCTTCGGTGCACACTACACGTTTGCGGCGTATGTGCACTTCTCAGCGTACTTAGTACTCTACAACTAGCTAGACGCACCGTCCGGGGTCACACATGAGGGGGTACCCACACCGGGGTTTTCCCTTCTTTGTCTTTTGTCCCCACCTACCTCCTGCGGAGCTGTCTTTCATTGATGCGTGTGCAGACGTTTGTCGTTGTTTGTTGGCATCGACGGAGCTAACCGGCTGTGTATGTGTGGTTGCGACTCGCATCGACCGCGCTGAACGGCTGACCAATGTATTGACGTTAGTCTAACCGCGGTTGAAAACAAATATGCTTCTTAAGTACTAAACGGCACAATCGAGACCCTGTGACCGAGCGGCATGGGGGAGTCTACGCCACTCTCTTGATTAGAGGAAGATGCCGTAACAACAACAGATTGTTGTACGTCTTCACGATGGCTGCTACTGCGTTGGACGCGTTGTGTTTTGTGTGTGTTTATAATCGGCTGTCGGCGTGTGTATTAAAAGTAACTGTAGGACCGCGCTGCCCAACGAAGAGGCGAGTTTTGTTTGAAAACACAAAATGCCTCTCGAGGCCATGATCGGGGACCTCTTGTGTGGTGTTTGCTTGTCTTGGTTTCAACCCCCTTGCCACGTACGCTTTGAAAGGCCATGATCTGGGACCTCCTTGGACCTGTGTGTGTTTGCGTGTTGTGTTCTTACAACCCCCGTAGCAGATGGAGAAAATGCGTTGCCCTCGCGAACTGTCCGGAATATAAGAAAATACACAAGAGAGGCGTCTGCTGGTTGGATGATGCGGACAGCGGTTCCAGCCCGGGGTGCACGTGCAACGGTGTCTCCCCAGTCGACTCGTGTCTCTCTAAACTACCTCTCCAATGGCCTCTCGATTGCGCTACGAGAGTATTTTACTATTATACTATCGTAATCTGCTGACCAATGAAAGCCGCCAGTCTCAGTGCAATTGAAAACACAAAATGCCTCTAAGGGCCATCGTCCGGGAATATTATGTGTGTTGGTGTATTTTTTTCTCCTCCCCCTTCCACGTACATGTACCCATAATAGTGTGTGTGTTCTTTAGATCTGATGGCTCTAGCATTTTTATGACCACGGACCGAGTGTTTGCTAGATTTTGGGATTAGCAACTGACACGAATTTAATGTGAAGAAAACAACAACAACAACAACAACCCATTCCCTTCCGGTCCCAAAACGATGGCAATTGTGCATGTTCTATTGATGTGACGGCCAATAGTCGTTGCTGCCCTCACTAGCCAGTAGAGAATATACAGCGGTAGTGCCAACGAATTGGTCAACCGCAACGGTTCACGGTCGGATTACCATTTATCGGAACGGTCGGATTTTGTTTTTTTTTCGTCGTCACTTCAAATCAGCGCTCAGGCGGTTACTTGCGGTTTGAAAATTCCAGTTGAACAATTGAAAATTTTAATTCCCATATCTAACTCGGAAAATCTCACTCGAAAATAGAGCAGCCTTCTTACGGATCGATGGAATTGGAAACGCGAAAAACAGGGGGGGGGGGGGTTCACAATTACACCCCCGCCAGACGACGCAATATCATGCCGCTAGTCAACTGACGCAACATCATGCCGCTAGTGGAACCACTGCTGCTGCAAGGCGCGAACAACTACTCCGATGCGCTGCTGCGGTCGTTACCCGGTTGCGACAACGCGACAGCCAAAAACGTGAACATCCTTCAGAACGCGGCCATCTGGTACGCGTGCTCCGTGATCAAGCGCGCGAACGGCACAGCATCCCAATCGGATGCCGAGCGTGCTGTGCGCCGGCGACCATCCTCCTCTTGGATCTGGAGCACCTCCGCCAACGCGACTGACAGCACTGACAGCACTGACTGACTGACTGACAGCACTGACTGACTGACTTGACAGCACTGACAGACTGACTGACTGTTGCTTCCAGCAGATCGTCGCCGGTCCCCATGTCGGGCGTACCGCGCTGACAACAAAGCACCGGGTCTGCGCGTGTGAGGCGCTGTGCTAGACTGTCACGCGCTGTGCTGTGCTGTGCTGTGCTGTGCTGTGCTGTGCGGTGCTGCTTTGTGGTGCGCTGTTGTGCTCTGTCGGGTGCTTTCCAGCGACCAAAGCAGGTGTGGTGGGGGGCCTGTGTGATGCACCCCTCCCCCCTAGGTTTATATTCCAACTAGCTTTTTCAAAACTCGGTCGCGATTTGAAAATTTCTGAAATTTTCAACTGCGCATAGCGTTTCCAATTTTTTTTGGCCCGAGTTGAAAATTTATTTCTCACCAAAAACGATTTTCCAAACCGTAAGAAGCTCTGTTCGGCTGGGAATTGAAAGTTCATTTTTTTCAACTGGAATTTTTCAAACCGTAAGAAACCGCCTCACAGCACTGCTGTATTGCCGTTTACTCCAACCCGTGGTCACACAGGAGGGCCCCTCTCTACCCTCCCCTCCTGCGGTACTTTTGCCTTCGATTTTGAATGCGAGAAGAGTTGAGCGTTCTCTTCCCTCTGTGTAAACACGAACTAATAGCGCTATTACTAGGCCAGGAGCGGAAGCGAGAGAACAACTCCCTTTGCAAGAAAAGCTCGCTTACGCCGGGATTCAAACCCTCGACCTGACCTCTAGAAGGTTTCGAGGATACTAACTAGACCACTGGGGCGACCGGTCGGAATACCATTATCGGAACACTCCTTGGCTGTTTAGGAGGTGCAGCCCATGCACGGCAACTTAGCTTTCATCGTACAGCAACCTAGCGCTAACGGTATCCTAGCGCCGCGGCTTGCCGCGTCCAAATGCTTACGTAGTACATTCAGAGTGACCCGGGAGGCACTTTCCAGTGGCAGAGGTTTGGATCGAGTCGGTTGGTTTGGGTTTAGGGATAGGGCTGTACCATATGTTATTAAGGTTTGGAGCGGCTCAAAAGTGTGGTACAGCAGCAGACCGGGTACAAGCCAGCAATCAATATTATTCTTTCGCAAGGAAGAAGCGTTCTTTCCATCGGGGTACATCTCTGCTCCCCCTCCTCACCCATTAGCGGTGCCTCGGGCTGTATACTGCAAGCCTGGGAATTGCGTTCTTCCGAATGGTCAGCACCGTCAGTAGTGCTATCGTGACGAGTTTATCGTTGTTCTGTACGAAATTTCTAGAATGTGAAAAAGGAAAGATAACCGTCTGCTGATGATGCGGACAGTTCCAGCCCTGTGTGCAAGCGCAAATATGTCTCCCCACTTAACCGTATCTTCTCCATGTTCCACACCAAGTGGCCCCTCGATTACGCTAACCGGCTGGCCAATTAGAAGCTGTCAGTCTCCGTGCAGTCGGGAACAAAAAATGCTTCTCAAGGCCATGATATGGGACCTGCGTGTGTGATGGTGTGTTTTTTTCTCGGCCCTCTTACAACGCACAGAGAATTGATGTTGTTTCGAAATTCCTGGAATGTACGAACAAGGAAGGCGCTTGTTGATGATGCGAGATGCGGACATCAGTTCCAGCCCTGGGTGCAAGTGCAAAGCTGCCTGCCTATTTGAGCCGCCTCTTCTCTGTTATTACAGATCCCTCTCGAGTGGCCCCAAAATATTCAAGGGGCCGGTTGATAGGATTTGTTAACATCTGGCGGGAGCACGGTTTAAGTTATATATTCCTCTGGAGTGGAAGCGATACCTTCTTTTATAACCCAAGCTGTAGGTTGCGCGATGTGGTTCTTCCTCCAATGATGGGTGGGCGATGTTGTTCTTCCGCGCTCGCCACTAGCTGGTAGCGCTAGCTGGTAGCGCTTTCCACCTACAAGCACAGATAGACGCGGCGCAGCTTCGCTTTTGAAACCGCGATGCGATCTTCCGTTATCCTCTTCCTCTTCCCTTATGCAAAGCAACTACACTGTATCAAAAGTGCTACAGATGTCCCACCATACCCTGACACCCCCCCCTCGTAGAGGAGTGCAAAGGATTAGACAGCCATGCTCTTGGCGAGGCAGAATAATACAGGTGGGAGAAGAATGGGGCCAATGAGTGGACCCACAAGTCGATGCCCCCCTTACCCTTACGGGGTTATGCAGCATCACCTTGACGCTAGGCGGCTGTGGGTGTGGACATAAGTCACAAAACTATCAGCTTGACCTTTCAGGCGCTCTGGTATAGTATCTATCGCGTGTGGTCTCGGCACCAGTAGCCTCGCCGTCGAAAGGAACGTGGATGTTCTCCGTAAGGAGTAACGTGGTCTGTATTGCTCAAGATACATGTACCTGGTACCAGTCGTTCCAGTTTCTTTTTGTGATGGAAGTATTTGCGGATGCGACGCTGTGTATTGCTTGGGCGTGCGGGGTGCAGCGAATTATGTAGCCATCAATCAAAAGAAGTCGCCCTTCTTGTGCTATTGTAAATAGAATATGAGAAGAAAAGAGAAAGAAGAAACACCTTCGTATCAGGGATTCTCCCCGCAGTGGTCTCGTGAGAACACGATATCATCAATATCATCAAGCTGTATTGCATGGTGAAGGTGAACATATGAAGGCGGCACGAAAGTTGGCTGCCAGCTGCCAGCTATGTCAGCTGCCAGTCGAGAGAGGGAGAGACGGAGAGACTTTTCCCATGCCCAACAAAAGTTCACGCAGCTCACATTTTCGTTACTCGAAGAGCCCGGCGAACGTTCAACGAACCAAAAAGAAAAATGGCAAATAGTTATACAGCAGTCTAGTATCGTACAACGATTCACGATGAAGACAGCGCTCCCTACATCATCCCCCCCCTCCCGTTTTTTTATTTTTGTTCTCCTCCTGTTATCCTTTTGCAAACACTAGGCTATTCCGGGGCCGCAAGCTGCAGGTGACCATCTCCTCGAAGAACGATGAGCGCCGAGAGCTGGCCATGTCGACCGTACATCCCAAGAACGGAGGAGGCATGATGGGCGGTCCCATGGGTCCCATGGGGATGGGCGGTCGCGGTCCTTTCGGCGGCAACTTCGGCCCCGGCGGCCGCGGCGGCGGCGGCCCCATGGGTGGGCCTATCGCGGGCCGCGGGCCCATGGGTGGCATGATCGGTGGCCGCGGCGGACCGATGGGAGGTCCGCTGCTTCCCGGCCCCGGCATGGTCGGAGGGAGGGGAGGAAGAGGTGGAAGGTGAAGACACTTTTTTTTTTTTGCGTGTTTCGGGTTGCATGGCTGGCTTGTGTGTCCGCTGGAGACTCTTTGTGAGTGGTCGGCCTCGTCTGTTTTGCGTCGGCTGCTGTGGGTATGGTTGGTTGTGTTCGTTTCAGCCTATTGTGGACTGCCGTCAATTCGTCGCCCTTCGCGAAGGTGTGGGGTTAGGGTTAAGGTTAAGGTTAGGGGTAGTGTATCATGGTTGTGCAACTCCATAAGTCGTTTGCCTGCCACGCGAGAATTCAGTGTCATGCGTGACCGGTGGGTGCCTGGGAGCTCGGGAGGATGGAATGGATCATATATTTTACTTTTTTCCGCTCATGGTTTGCAAGGCAAGTGTCAGCTTGGACGGCTTTCAACCACCCCGTTGGCCTCGTCATTACCCTGCCTCTCCTTGGCTTGTTTGTCGCAGGCTGGGCATGGTCGGCGGTGGTCGAGGAGGACGCGGCATGGCCGGCGGACCAATGAACGGCCCTATGGGACCGAATGGCCCGGGTCCTATAGGGCCGGGTGGGCCAATGGGGCCGATGGGTCCGATGGGAGGGCCAATGGGGCCTGGAGGACCTATGGGTGAGTGGCGGCGGCGTTCTTTGTAGTGGAATCCGGCGAGCGAGAATTCGCAGCGCACATTTTCACGAACGTACGAACGCGCGACCACCTCCCCTGCGAGCTTCGCTTTCAGCGCCCAGCAGGCGGTTCTACTCTGCATCGACGGGTGCACGCGAGATGGATTGACGCATTGGCGTACCGTATGCCTCGCACCTTTGACGCACACGAACGTGCGAACGCGCGATTATTCAAGATTTTGCCCGTGGGTGCACGCGCACCTCTCGTTGCGGCGAATGGACGAATCAACAAACTACTTCGTCCAGTCTGTCTTGGCGCATGGATGCAGAACACACGCCATGGGGCAAAGTGACGGTTGTCCAACTTGCTTGTGGCACTCGTCCGCAGAGTGAAAAGCCGACCGCAGAAAAAGTTGCACCAAGTCGTTGTTCACCCACCACAAGCATTAGCACGCCTTTACATCAGCAGCAGGCAGATGTAGTGTCTCCTTTTATTTAGTGACATGGCTGGCTTGAAGTTGCGCCAACGTGTAGCAGGACATGCGCGTATCCGATTCCCTCCGTGGAGATGAGTGGGGGTTGGGACACTCGTGTAGACACGCGCCATAGACCGTTGACCTTGCATCCCCACAATTGCATGGTGCCGGGACGGAGCAAGATGCCAGATTTTCGCCGGCTCAGGCTGTGTGTTTGCAAGGATGACCCAGAAGCCAGAACCAGATTTGCCATTGGGCATCCCGGCTTACTGAACGTTTCACAGTTGGTGTTGGTGTCTGTCGCTGGTGACTTGTGTTGCGCATACCTTCTGTGAACACACATGCGATACATCCCGGCTAACGGAATGTTTCACATTCGACTACGCCCGCCGTGGGTGTCTTGTCGCTGTGAACACACACACACATTCAATGCAGGACCTGACGGCATGGGGCCAGGCGGTATTGGGCCCATGGGTCCCGGTGGTATTGGACCCATGGGTGAAGGCGGCATTGTCCCCGGCGTGTTGGGTGCCGGGAGGGGTTCTTTGGGGCCTGGAAGGGGTTCGCTTGGCCCAGGGAGGGGAGGCGCGGGCCGGGGGCCAGGCGGAAGGGGCGGCGGGAGGTGAGTTGCGTTTCTGTTTCGTTGTTGTTGCTGGTGTTGCAGTAGTGTGGCGTTGGTGTTGTTGTAGATGTTGATGTTGACGTTGGTGTTGATGTTGTTGTAGATGTTGATGTTGACGTTGGTGTTGGCGTTGATGTTGGCGTTGCTAGGGTGTCGGTGGGGCGATAGTGTAGCTGATTCCAGCTGATTCCAGAATGCACCATACATACACCCATCGTGTCGCATGTTGCGCGTACGCGACAAGTTGCCGTGCGTTGGCAATACATAGCATGTCAAACTAGCAAGGATGGGAGCTTGCGTTCTCGAGCCGGGAGTGTCGCCTAAGAGGACACGCATGAGCGTACAATCGATAGGTCAGAAGGGGGCCCAGCAGGCGTCTGTGGAGTTCTGTTCTGATGACGTCACGACATTATGTCCGGTACAATATCTACCATCGTCCCTCTGGCTGCCGGAGTGCCATGCGTGTACTCGTGTACTGCAGCCTCACTCAACTCACTGAACGAAACCGTACTTTGGCCACCGCAGTTTTTTTTTTTCGTAAGGACGAACAAGGAGCTTCCACCCCCTTCACCATAATGCTTGGCGTTGCATGACTCAGAGCTAGCTCCGCTGCAGGCGATATTGATATCCAGTCCATGTCCACCTGAGAATCGTGAGCCACGTGTAAATCTCCGTACGCTCTTTGTCCACACCAAGAGCCTGACGTATCCTCGTCTGTTGTTGATGTCTTTGCACCATGACTGCTCCTCAGGATGGGCATGGCCGTCGGTGGCGGTGGCGGCCGGGGAGGGCGCGGACCCCCCGGGGGAGACCCGATGATGCCCGGAGGCGGCCGTGGGGGCTCCGGGGGTATGATGGGAGGGGGCCCCGGGCGCGGACCGGGCGGCGGGCCTCCCCACATGGGCGGTGGCGGCGGCGGCGGCGGCGGCGGCCCCGGTCTCGGCAGTCTTGCTGCCGGCAGGGGCGGCGGTATGGGTCCCGCTGGCGGAGGCCCCGGCGGGATGGGCGGCAGAGGCGGCGGCCGTGATGGCCCCGGCGGTATGGGCCTGATGGGTCCCCGCGGGGGCGGCGGGCTTATGGACGGCGGGATGGATGGTCCGGCCGGTGGCGGCGGTGGGCGCGGCGGAGGTGGGCGCGGCGGCGGCGGCATGGGCGGGAGAGGCGCGGGTGGCTGGGACGAATATGGACACGGTGCGTGCCGCGCACTGGTGTGCAAGCCAAGCAGCCAGTGATCGGTTGATTGCTGAGAGGCAAACGATGACGTCATCGGATAAAGTTTTACCGTTTGTGCTGTTGAGAGTATGTCTTTCAAAGATCAAAGAGATCGGAGTGCTCGACACCCTCACAGCCAGTGTTTAGGTTAGGGTTACAACTCGCTTGCGTTTCGCGTGCGTCTGTACGCCTGCGCTCTCGCCCCCCACCCACCCGGGCGTCAGGTGATATTTGCTATTTGCTATTTGCTATTTGCTATTTGCTTTTGTTGTGTGATACCGTCGAGAGAATGAAGAACATGTGTAGGTTCTGTTTGATTCGATCGACGTGAACACGGCTTATTGAATCTATTGATCGACGTGAACATGGTATATTGAAGCCGGAAGATTTTCCACCGGACTACTTGATGCATAGTCGCACGTTGCAGTACGCCCACACCATGAACCAGCTGCTTTGCATCGACACCCCTTCTTGACTTATTTTCTCCCACTACTGTCATTCTAACATACCGCCGTACCGTACCGTACCGTACCGTACCATGCAGGAGGCGATCCTTACATGGAAAACCCCGAGCGTCCCGGCGGAGGGGTCGGCCGCGGGCGTGGCATGATGGGCCAGGGTGGCATGGACCACCACGTCGATGGGCGTGGGATGGCCCCCGGAGGTGTAAGGTACGGCGGCGGCGGCGGCGGCCGCGTGGACGGCATGAATGGACGCGGGGGTGGCGCTGGTGACATGAGCGGCAGGGGAGACGGCGGCTACGCGGACCGTGGGGCTTGGGGAGGAGAGGGCCAAGGCTCGGGCGGAGGTACGTCGGGGCTCCGGGTTATGAGATGTGTCGCAGTGTTGAGAGATTGGAGAGGGTGCGTTTGTTGTGTGGATGCAATGCCGCGGGTCGTGTTGCTGGGACGGCGATTGATGTTCAAGACAAGTAGTATGGTATTGGTTACGGTGTCTAGCGAAAAAACCAATTCCATTGCCATTGCCATTGCCATTGCCATTGCCATTGCCACTGCCATATTGCCATTGCCATTGCCATTGTGTTGTTTGTTTTTGGTAGATCTTCTCATGCTTGAGGTAGGCTCGGCTTGCTGCCATTTGCGGATTGCGTTGTGCGATGCGGCAGGATGGTCAACTCGGAGAGACAAGTTGAGTTACGGTGGGAAGCAAGGTTGAGATTCACCCTTCGACGGGAGTGGGAGGAGTGAGGATAGTGTTCCATTCATCAGAGTAGACCCCCCAAAACGTTGAAGCAGCCTTGGATCGGAGCGATGTTCCCTGTTCAGCGGACTAGCTACGATAGATGCTGCCGTATTTCCCGTAAGGCGCAAAGAACGGTAAAGTTCCCCAGCTCTAATAGCTACCACACGGTTTTCACCCAAAGCGTACGGGTAGCAATCGGCAGTCAACGTGCGTCAACCGCTGTGTTCATGCTCCTGGTGAGTGTTGTTATACCCGTTTTGAGTTGTGTCGGACAGCTACGGTACGACTGCATGCGTGGGGCTACTGTTTTTTCGTTCAACACCACACCGGCAGCTTTTGGAGAACACCATTTTTTTTTTCGTCACGTCAGTGTGGTGAGCGTCCCCCCAGGATGGAGCCACCGCTGTCATCTGTTTTTTTTTTTTTTTTTTTTTTTTCCCATCATTGGACTCTGTCGTCTGCCCCTCTGGCCCCTATCCTCCACTTCTACTAGCTAGACGACCCAACCGGGGTCACATAGGAGGGGGGGGTTGGACCCCCTCCTGCGGTACATGCCTGAGGTATTTTTATCGCGAGAAGGGTACAGCAATCCCTTCCCTCGCGACTTACGAAGTCGATTATGGTTTACTGACAAACGAGCTTTGCAGCGCGTCGCTTTCATCCTAGACCAGGATTTATTTAGTGAGAAAAAAAACTCTCTCTGCCGGGACTCGAACCCATGACCTGGCCCTTAGCAGGCTGCGAGGCTACCCACTAGACCACCGGGGCGACTGTGTGGTGTTTTGTATGTGCGTGTTTGGTGCTGGTTTGTTTAAGCCCAACCGCTGTTTAGTCGTGCGACGTTGGTTTTTTCATTGTGTACGCTGGAAGAGGTAAGTGTTGTATGCAACATTGAAAGTATCCGTGGTACATGTGGCTGTGTCCGTGAAAGGGTTGTAGCGTGCGCCTGAGACCGTTCTCAGCATATTTTTTGCTGCAAAGTGCAAAGTCTTTTTTTTTGTCTTTTTTTGTCTTTTTTTTTCATTTTCCTGACGGTTGTTGCTTTCTCCCTACTCTCCCTGCTGTATGTCGTTGGAGCTCTGCTTGGTTCCGTTGGGTTCGCACTCTCATCCCGAGGAAGTAGCCCATGCTCGTCGTGCTTGTTGACTGTCTTTTGTCGACCCCCGTCTTGTCTCTTTCTGGCTGGCTTGCGGCCCTTCGTCATCTTTGGTCCGTGTTGCCGATTAGTTTCGGGTAAATCCTGACTTACTACAAACCGAATGCAGGTATCGACGGTGTTTCGGTTTCGGTGTGTTCTCTTTATTGTGCAACTATCCCTGTGGGCCTTGCACTTGTGTCGTACTATCAGATGGCAGTCTCACCGATGTAATGCTCCATCTGATGTCATCTGATGCCATCTGATGCCATCTGATGCCATCTGATGCCATCTGATGTCGTTTTGTCTGCTGTTGTGGGTTGTTCGCTAAACGATGGCGCAGCAGCAGTCAGACAATCGTTTTTTCATGTGTTATCCAGAGATTGCAGCCCTGCATGCATGAGACGGAGTCGTGTACAGTACGATGATCGCGGCTGTTGGTCGGCTGTTGGTCGGCTGTTGTACCGCCATATGCTGCCGTTAACAATCTACTCTAACCCTTCGTTGGCATCGTGTTCATTCGATGGCCTGGTCGTCCTTGCACGAACGTAGTGCGGACTTGTTTGTTAACGCGGAATTGGTGGGGCAGTGAGGAAGCTCTGTTGTTGTTTTTGGCAGAGGAAGGCCCTGTTATCGTGTGTCCCCCCCCCCCCGTGTCGTACCCCAGCGAGCCGCGGCTATTTCACACTTGAAGTATCCGTAGAACTTGCCCTCCCTACTCGAGCTGTGCATCTATCAAGCCGTGTTCGTTCCTCAGTACTGCTGTTGCCAGGCGTTTCGCGTGTCGTACTGTACCGTGCTTGTGCTTGATCGTTGCTTCTTGTTGGCCTCACTTGCCGTATGCATACGTACGCTAATGGGTCTTGTCGCGCCGATGCTGTTTTGATGTTTTAATCACTGCTTGTCCCCTTTCGCGATGAATATCGCCTGTTTGTACCGTAGATCTCGAGAGCTGGCAGATTCGTACGTAAATTTACCTCCATGAAATACTGTGCTAGACTTGGCTGTACGCGTTTGATTTATTTCTTGTGTCGTCTTGTGCTGTTTTTTTCTTACTTGTTTTGTGTATAGGCGAGCGGCGCGGGCCTCCTGGCCCGTCCGAGTACAACACGCCTTCCATCCCGGCTGATGGTTCCGGTGGTAACTATGGTGGTGATGCCTACGGTGGGGGCGGGGGCGGGGGGTACGACGATTACCCCGCGGAGAGGGCGGACGGGGCCGGAGGTTACCGCGACAGTTATAACAACGGTGCCGCCGATAGCCGAGGGGGATACGCTCAGAACCGCGCCGCGAGCGGTGGCGGAGGGGGAGGAGAGTACAATGACGGGGGGGTTCAAGGTGGTGGGTACGGTGGAGCAGGGGCGGGGGGCGACCACAGCGGATACGCGGCCAACGGTGCCGGTAGGGACGCCGCGTACGGCGCTGAGTATGACGGTGCCGCCCGGGGTGGTAAGACCGGGGGTTACGATGATGGTTACGGCGGAGCCGCCGCTGACGGTGGGGACGGTTACCGCAACTCGGGGGGGACTTACAGGGGTGGCAGACACAGCGGCGGCGGCGGTGCTTCCTCAGGGAACAATGACCAGTACGCAGGGGGGGCGGACCAGGGCAGGTCGGGTGGTCAGGCCGCATCCGGCTACGGTGACAGCAGAACCGGCGACAATGGAGGATACCCCGCTGCCGGTGGGAGCGGCTACCAGGGGGAGACAGAGGGCAGCAGGGGTGGCGCCGGCGGCGGCTACGGTCAGCAGGGAGACGGGGGAATCTACAGGGCGGAGGGCACCGCATCTTCCGGGTATGACCAGGGCTACAGCGGCAACACCAACAACGGCCGCACCGGACAACAGGGAGGAGGTCCGAGCCAGGCTGCCGACAGTGGCTACGGCACCGCCGCCGGCGCTTCGGGCAGCGGGTACGATGCAGGACCGGTGGACAGTCGCTACGACAACGGCCGCAACGGCGCGAGTGGTGGCGACGGTTACGCCGCCACCGGCGGCGACGCCTACCAGACCGGCGGCACGTACGCGCAGGACGCTTCGTCCAGGACTCCCCAAGGCTCTCTCTACGGCTCGCAGCAGCAGCAGCAGCGGCAGGGCTACGACGCGCACGGCAAGACCGGCGCTGGCGGTAGGCCTCAAAGCGGCGACGCCGGGACGAAGGGAGGCAGCGGGTACGCCGACAACAACGGCGGCGGGGACTACAACAGCTCGGCGGCCGCCGGCGGAGGGGGTCAGTACCGCGGTGGCTACGCGGACCAGCAGTCTTCCGGCGGCGCCGGTCAGCAGTCGTCGGGGTACGGCGGCGGCCAGGCTGACGGCGCGTACGACGCTCCCACCGCCGGCGGTGCCGCGGGAGGCTCTAGCGGCTATGCCGCCCAAGGCAGCTACGCCCAAGCCGGCGCCGAGGGTGACGCCGAGTTCTGGGCGCGCGGCGGCGGGGCGGGAGGATCAGGCGGCGGTTACACCGACGGTGGTGCTCATGCCGCCTCCACCGGGCAGTACGCTGCTCCCGAAACACCGGGAAGGGGAGGGGGCGGCGGGCAAGGGTCGTACGCTTGGTAAAAGGGTAAGGGTGAGGAGTGGCGAGCGGGGGAGGCTTTTTGTCAACGTTGCTGGGCAGGAAGAAGTCTTTCAGGGTTGCGTCGGCAGTGAGCCGGAGATATGGCATGTAGGTCGTTTCGGCTGCGTTCGGCACGGCTTTGAAGTGGGTCAACGAGAGCTGATGAATGACGCCAAGTCCTTTGGCGAGTTTTCTGTTGTCTTTTCCAGGGGAGAGACGGCCCACTGAGGCACGAGCGCGCTCAACAGCAGTGACTCGTTCGTTGGCTGGTTCGTTCACGGCAGTAGTTTGGTCAAGGGATAGTTTGGTGCAGTGCAGCGTCAAGGTCTCCTTTCGCGCGTGAGGCGTGGGGGGGGGTAGCGCTGTTGCTGTACAGGGGAACACGTTGGACAGCAATACTATCCCAGGTCAACCCAATTTCGCCTGGCGCCGCCTGCTCGCGGGTGCAGATTCATTTGTTTTTTGTTTTGTCACAAGGACTAACCTACATAGCATCGTCGCTCAATAAGGCTGGTTTGGCGATGCGTCAGAGCACTCTGATTTTTGGCCAATCTCAAAATATTTGATGAGACGCTAGCGTTGAACCGAAGACCCTTTTTTTGCACAACTGTGGCCGGCAGCGGGAGATGGTAGCAACGGTGAGCAGGGTAGAGCGCTCGGGTGAGTTTGTGGCCGCCTTCTAAGTTGGTCCTGAGATAAACGTCGTTGCAAGTCTTGGCATTTTTTTTCGGTTTGTCCCACTCTGTTCAGCGAATCTTTACGTTCTTGAGTCAAGGAGTTTTGGCCGCTCTTTCTGTGACGTGGTAAGAGGTATGGAGGCGGGAGGGCGGGAGGGCGGGAGGGGAGGCGGGGGCAGTACCATGCTTATGCGCCCCTTGCGGTGAGCGCCCATCGTTGGGCAAGTTGTTTTGCATGATGTACTGTAGCCGTTTGGGCTCCGGTACAAACGCAGCATGAACTTCGCGCCGTATTGCGACGGCTTGCATCTTCTCTTGCGCGAGCATCGCTGTGTAAGCCGTCGAACGGGGGTGCCGGACAGTTAGATTCTGGAATAGTTTTTTTCGCCTGTCAAGACGCTGTATGGGGGAGCGGCGGCGGTATGTGTCTTGTGGAGCCGTGTGAGCCATTCTGGTATCAGTCGCTAGTTTTTCTCACCTTTCTGCTCCGTTCTATTGCAGCAAGGATTGCGTAGTCATGTGGTCAGGAAGGCAAGATAGGGTACTCGGTTGGGCAACGAAGTGACGAGGAGGGTTGTCGGTTCGGTGGTTGCATGATATTTTATACATTTTTTTTGTATGATAACACGGGTGCATTTTCGAAGTCCACCAACAACAATAGCCTCATGTTCGTGCTTTGTGCGAGTGGAGTTACGTTTGGTTGACCAATCTCTTGTGGTTGTCGCCAGAACGGATCGAAGTACTTCGATCCGTTCTGGCGAGCAGTGTTTGCGATGCGGCCCGCAAGTGTTTTTTATTAACCGCTGGAAATACTCTTGGATGCATTCTAGTGACGGGTGCGAGACGGGTGCGAGACGGGTACGAAGGCAAGACGATGCGGGCGGTGTGGAAGGTGTGAGCAGTCGCAGGCGATCTGGACGAGGCGGGGGTTCGTGTTGAGGATGGAGGGGTTGGAATTGCGGGTAGTCGTGCTGGTAAATATCTCGACGGGCTTTGAGACACACCGGAGGGGCCATGCCGGCTTTCCTGGGGCGATCTGTTGTCAGTGTTATATTGCGCAGGGATGCGATATATGCTACTTGTCTCAGGAATTGCGTACGCTTGTCGGAGGGAGTGTGTGGCAAGGGGATTGAGGATTTCGTCGAGAGATTTTGACGTTGCATTATGATGCCGTCAGAGGGTGGGGGGTTATATGATACCACGAAAGTAGGAGTGCGGGTCAAACGAGCGCATGTAAGTGGGTTTGGCGTATGTTGGCGGTTTGTTTACTCACCATCTGGTCGTTTTGCATGCTGGAGTTGTTAGTCCTTTGGTACGATTCGAGCCAAATCATTCGCAGTCCAACTGTTCGTGTTGCAGGTAGTTATGCCACGCATCCAGTGGAAATCAACGACTTCATGCCCCACACGTCAAGGGCTTGCAGTACACAAGAACTGATTGCTCCTGGCGGCCTTGAGTGTACCATGCCGTGTATCCTTTTACCCTTTTCGTGTATTCACCTCGGTGGGTAGTTTTCTTTCATGGCGCGTGGGGGAAGAATCGTTCGCAGAGAAGACCGAAGTGAAGCGGGAAGACAAGCAAGCAAGTGGATGCACGGTGCAATGGGATGCTTATGCATGAAATAGATTATCGTTTCGGAGCGGGGAGCCGACAGTTTGTTGCACACACGAGTCCCACATTCTTTGTAAGAACAAGACACCGGTTGCAGATGCAAGTCTAAGAACAAGTCACCGGTTGGTTGGTTCATAACTAGGTTGACGCGTGTGTCGCGGTGGAGATACCCGTCACAAGTCGTCTCTATGACGCCGTGCTTACTCGCTAAAGTCAGCTTCAACGACGACCCGTGGGATTTTCAGATTCCAAGGACTGTCTCGACGTTGTGTTTTATTGCTCAACCGCCCTATTCGATAATCATGCGTTGCGAGAGTGCGAGGTACGTGCATCAATTTTTGTCGTTTGTCGGTGATCTTTTCCCCGATGGGCAAAACATTTGTGCTCGCTGAGGAAGTATTGATATACATCCACATCTACAATCGGCGTTTTCATGTGTTTTACTGTCCTTGTGGTGCCGCTGATTTTGTTTGATTTTCGCATGGATGTTGTGACTTCCCTTGTTGGGAGGGAGCGTTTTAAACCTTGCATGATTTTTTTTTTTTGTTGCTCGTGTGGAAACAAGTACGTCTGTAGGTCAGTGTTACTCGCCAGGTCTTGCCATTATATTTTTCGCTGGACCTGGCTGGCCGGTCGCCGACTCTGCAGGTGGATAGACATCAGTCCCAGACGCCCGTGTGTATATTTTGTTCTTGCTGATGGCGATTTTTTTCTTGGTGGTTGAGCTGCCCCGGCGATGTTCGCCTAGCAATGTTTCGGTTGTCGCCGCGGCGTCTTGCCCGCAAAATACAGCTTCAGCGCTTTCTCGATGCAGCACCGCAGTTCTCGTGACACCGTTGACTACGACTTCGTCATACTTCGGCAGGTGGCCTTCGCTTATTGTTCTAGGTGCTTGTGTATGATCTTTCCTATTATACCCACGCAGCACCGAGTTGCTTGATCAAATAAAACGCCAGGGCGATCGCGAGTCGACCTTGTCAGGCTTTTGACCAAACTTGGTAAGTCCACCTGAACAACAAACCCTCTCAAGTACTCCAAGCCATTCCAGTGCGGATTAAGGTTATAGAGTTGCGGTAGGTGACAAGCGGTGTGAAACAAATAGGGTACAGGCATAGGCGTCCGTCGAGAAGTCAGTCAGGAACCGTCTGCGGTTGTAGTTCGTGGAGTTGATGCTGCTCAGTGTAAATCACGTCTTGTGGATTCAGCGTGGGTTCCTCAAGGAGGGGTTCGGCGCTATCGAGATGATCCTCAAATTGAAAATTTTATTTTACTTGAATTCTGCACAGGTGAGAAATGCAGCCTTTTCGTATGGGGGACGGGTTTTCATCATACTATTTGAAGCGATCTAATCAATTGTGGCATGGTTCAAGTTGAAGTGGTTCACCATGCGGCGTAGTTTCAACCAGGAAGAAGTAAGCGCGTAGAAGCGGTGAACGCTGGGTGCTGTCGACTACACCCTTCGCCTGGATCTGTGTCGTCTTGAGAAGTAACGTGGATCACATCTCGGGCACTGAAAATGCAATGCCTTGCCTGACGATATCATATTTTTACTCATGGCAGCTGTTGGAAGGAAATCTCTTCTCATAGTGCTCAGTGATCGGGGTTTCGCGTGCCAACGAGTCTCGTGAGACCTATGCATCCTCAGTTCACGAATCATCCGCGGAAGCTGACTAGTGTGCCCTCGTAATCAATCGTTGGCGCTGAACGGCTGTTGTTGCTCTGCCGCATGCATCCGCCGCATTAGGCTTGGCCGAAGAGGTTTGGGTGTGTAAGTAGAGACGGTTGTTTTCGGTTTAGAGTATGTCCTTGAAACATAGGTAGGTAGCGAAGCGTTGTTTACAAGTCAGTACCTCAGATTTCGTGTTGTTGGAGCTGTCACGACTGCTGCAGGCCGTTTCACGACGTTGCCCTGGTTGCCCCCAGCTAGTGTCGCGGAATGATCAGACACCGACAGGTCGAGACTGCTGTTCAAAGTATTTAATTTATTTCAGCTCCTTGCTTGATGGCGGGTAACCATGTACCATACGTGATTTGGTCGAGAACGCGTGGTGGCGAGCGATAGAAGCACCCCGTAGGAGCTCCGAATAGCTTTCGTGTCTCCAACAAGTGTGTGTGTATGGTCGCGGATGCCTATCCATACATGTCCTCCATAGTATACAAGGAACCCACCCCTCACCAACGAACGGCAGGAGGAGAGAACGGTATCTGCTTTTGTGCTGGGTTTGTATGTGTGATACGTGCGTGATGATGCATCGCCAGCATATGACCACCTACGGAAGGAGGAAGGTGGAACTAGAAAATAGAGGGAACGCAGAGAAAAAGCCGTTGTACCTGCTGCTGTTTTGATTTGTGTGGTCTCCGGTGGTTCTCTTGCTGCGAAAACGGCTGTTGTTTGTTCAGCGGGGCTTGTTTGAAGTTCCTTTATCGTTCGATGTTGTTCAAGCATTTTGAGGTTCGACGTATGCTACTACTGCTGTCGTCGGCAGAATGCCGCTCTGGGGTTCGAGGCCAAGGTAGGTTCTTTCATGCTGGCTGACGCTATTTTGCAAAGCAAAATGCGAACGAAGGGCCTTCCTCGTGTAGGATTGTAAGACCAAATGATATAACTGATGGACTGATGAGACTATTGAAAGCAATAATACTCGAAAACCTTGCCCTCGGACGACAACGGCTATCCAAAAGCGGTGGCTGCAAATTTCCGTCGTAAATCAAGTGCTGCGCGACGTGCCAAGCGTCCCTCTGTTCGCAGCCGAGGGAGCGGCCGTCATGTCGGTCAAAAAGGAAAGTTCACCCCGAGGCTTCCAACAAACACAACAGACGCACGCCAGTGTGACACTCGTCGATGTTGATCTGACAGCCCCAGTGCCTCGTGGTTGAGACGAAGCCGTGCTGTTGTACGTACCTAGCTTAACGAAACAGAAGTTGTTACTTCTCCTTCAAGTCCCGTGCTTTACGCTGTCATGATCCTGAATGTACCCGCGGGTTGGTTACACGGTGTGTTCGGTGTTCTTTCGTAAAACGCCTGCGTCGCGTCTTCCCCCCTATCTCTCGCTTGAACTGGTGTGTTTTACATGTGTACAACGTGTCGAGTTCTCGTGGAAGTGATTTGCGTGTCGACGATGTGTCAAGTTCTCGCGGGATCGATTCAACTCACACGCCGCAAGGTCATAGTTTCGCAGAAAAAGGGGCTCAGAGCAACGTTCGCCACAGAACAAGTGGGCGGACGTATGCCGGGCGCGAGCACGGGCTAGAGTTCATCAGCTTATCACTTTGTCAAATGTCGACTACTCGAACGGATTGGCAAAATAAGGACGGATGCTTTCGGTTTCCGATGTCCGCGACCCCCGACATCTAACCCGGAGACTCCACCCACTGAACGTGCAACATCCAATTTCTGACTTACATTCACCCTTCCCTCTCCTATCTCATCCTCGATTGTACAGCCACCCGTGTTCTACGATGCACACAACGTCGCGGAACGTATCTAATCAACGAGAAAAGAGAACAAACAAACTTGTACACCAAATATTTCTTTCGCTCACGTCGTGTGGCATACGAAGATTCTCCACGGCCCTCGCCACCTTGGGCGCTGTGGTGCACACACTCACGACACCAAAGTCGACACGTCGGAACCCATGCTCCCAAAAACGGAAAACACAATCGATCCCGTTCGTCCTCCATCCCCTGCACAGATATCCAAGCATGGGTGGCTGTGTGTGTCTCGACCCCCTCCGCGTATCCATCATTTTTGCTCTGCTCCACCACTCAGTGTACATGCAGCGGTAGCCAGAAACTCCCTCTTCCTCATTTCGGTAAGATTTTCGACACAGATCTCGCACAATATTCTAACATTCTTCGACCGAAGTATTTCCTGCCGTGGTTCCCAACTCTTTATCAGGGTATCCATCACACATCCCACCGCCCCCGCAAACCTAGGCCAAGCATTTGTACGAAACGGCCTGTGCATAGATCAACCACATGCCGTCCATTGTTCTCCGACACAGCTGCGAAAGCGAAATGCCGCACGACTTGGATCGAAGGGCGCGGTACCGCCAACGAGGCAACAAGAGAAAGCCGTGCAAGAGCGCGTTCCAAAAAGACGATCATGTTCGCAGTCTCCCGACGCGAGACGGCACTGCTATACGTGCTGTCACCATTCGCCTTTAACTAAACAAGCGCAACCTACAACGAACGGGGCGATAATCTAACCGACGCTTCTTGTAACGCCGGAGCACGGGGCGTGTAGGCAACAAGGGCGTGGATGCAACATCGCGTTGTGCCCACATATCACCCAGGCAGCCTGCCGATGTTTTTCCCACGACAACGTCGACGGATCCAAGAGAAAGCGAGAGACAAGAAAAAAAGAGAAACACATGCTCGGGAGGGGAAATGAGGGCTGCGAGATGCAGGTCCTCAACACATACTCGTTTGACGACAAATCACTCGAGGAAGGTATCGATTTACGTTTAATCGAAACCGAATACGTCAACCTATCATCTTTCAGGAGGTCGACTCAAAAGCCCAGTCCTCTTAGAGGTCCATGAGCTCGGGGAAGTCCGCGATTGCGTCCTCTCTAGTTAGCACTTCCCACGGTTCTTCGGGCGTCCACAGGACCTCCGCCGCCAGCACGTTGTCTCCTCCGTCCGACAGGGCCCCGCTTGCGATCGTCTGCAGCGCGGTCTTGAGGCCTGCACAAAATTGCGAGTGTTAAGATATATATGTCGCATTGATACAGTGGTGGTTATCAACTAGAGTTGCGGAGGAGTGGCGGGCCCGTCGAGGTGCAGATATTTGTCGTATGGTTGGATCAATGGTTGGCCATCTGTCGGTACGAGAAAACGAAGGTAAACGGACGGCACTGACACCGGGAGGCGAACAGGCATTTCGGCAAAGGGTACAAACGAGTTAACGCTGCAGCGGTGGCTGAATGGCAAAAGCGGTGGGGGATCAGGCCAAGGAGGCCCAGCTAGCGGCTAAACGAGGTGGTGGCATCGTGTAGAGTACGCACAAATCGCGTGCCCATCCACCGGACGGCAAAAGGACAAACACTGGTTTACTAGACCCCGAGTGGGGGGAGTTTTTTCCGCGCGCACCATCACAACAGCATAACCCGTGCTGCGGAAAGTACCTGGAGTAGGCTGGGTCGTGCGCCCCCCGTGAATATGTGTTGCTTTTGTTTTGGTACACACACCCGAAATGTTGTTGATGCGATGTTGTTGATGCGAATCGTTGTTGTCAGCACTCCGTATGCGTTAGTAAATGAAGAAGTAGAAAAAAATGCCCCCACTCAGAACACAGCAGCAGCAGCAGAATATTTGAACTATGCATAGCACGCGAGTTGTCGCCGATCGCGAGCCCCTCTTCACTACGCCCTGTCGTGGTCTGCAAACCACACGCGAACACCCTCTGTGATATGCAGATAGTGAAAGCGGCGATCTATAGAGGAGGAGATGCGTGGTGGCTGGTCTGAACACGTGCCAAAGTTGGCCACTCGGTGTGGACGAGGTCAAAAAAAGAACACAGCAGCAGCAGAACCAAACCGAC